ATAAATACTAATAAATACTAATAAATACTAATAAATACTAATAAATACTAATAAATACTAATAAATACTAATAAATACTAATAAATACTAATAAATACTAATAAAATATTAATAAAATATTAATAAAATGTGGTAGCAAATAGCACCGTATGTGGATATAAAAAGTCTTAATTTTTAAGTAAGCCATAAAGTAGCTAAAATATTTTTATATTATATAATAAGGCGGTAATACAGGGCAAAACCTATATACCTAAAATATAACCTATATGCAGCTATATATTTCCCCTTTTAAAAAAGCATAGTATATAAAAAAAGCTAAACTAAAAAAAAAATTAAGTTAAAGCTATGCTTAATAAATATAAAATAAGTATAAAATAAAAGTAAAATAAAAAAAATCTTATAAAGCCATAATAAAGCAAAGCTTAATATAATAATTATATAATAAAAAAAACCTTATAAAATAGCCTAAGTAGTAAAGGGTTAATTATAGAAAGCTATACTTAATAAATAAAAAAAAAATTTAAAAATAAAAAAAAACAAAGCAAGGATGGGATATTAAAGTAAAAATAGGGTATTATAAAACTACTTTTAAAATATAATATAGGTAAATATAGTATAAAATATAATATAAGTAAATTATAATATTATATAGCTAGCTGTAAACTAGCTTATTTTTATTTTTTTTATATTTAAGGTAAGTAGCAAAGTGCTTATATATAATTTATATTTTTATATTATAAAATACTAGATTAAAAACCTTGCTTTATATATTTTTTAAATATTTAGTATAAAAAGTTTTTAGGGCTATAAAAAGCTTTATTATATATATTATAAATATTATTTTAAATAAATATTTAGGCATGTTCTTAATATAATTAATAATTATTTTAAATACTTATTCCTAAGAATACCTGGCCTTAATATTCTTTTATATAAAGTTTAAATAGTGTTTTTTATATAAACCACGCAGGGTAATTAAATAATAATTTAATTTTACCTTTTTTTTTAAGGTTTTTAAAAGTTAGTAATTTAATAATATTATAAATATTAATAATATAAAGCTTTTAGGTTATAGCCAAGCTTATTAAATAAATTATTAAAAAATTTACTAGGTTTTTTATTCTTTAGTAGCATGTAATTATAAAAAATACTAAATAAGTATTTAAAATACTTAACTAGTTTCTTAACTAGTATAATACGGCCAAAAAGTTTAAGTATTTAAACTAAGTATTATTTTAAGGTATACTATATTATCCTAGCGCGAAGGGTCTAGTATTAAAATTAGGACTAAAACTAAAGGATTTACTAAAGGGATTAAAATTAAAAAGTCTAAGATTAAAGGGCCTAAAAAGTATAAAACTAGAGCTAGCGCTTTTAAAGCCTTATATACTAAAAATATTTTATATTACTTTTATAGTATTTATTAAATTTAGTAAGGTATAATTTATTTCCCGCTGGATTTCTTGCATGTACTACTAAATAATACCTTTTATTTTTATAATTATGCGCTAGTAATTAATAATATAAACCTTAATATTATACTAGGCTTAATTAGCTTTACTTTTTAATATATTATATTTATAAAACACTTGCTTTAGTTTATAATAAAAAATACTAGTAAACTAGTTTTTAAAACTTAAATATTTTACTAACTTTATAACAGCGGCCTTTTTATCCCATATACCCTAAAATTAAATAATATATAACTTATTTATAATAACACGTGTTAATATTTTAAGAAAAATTCTTAATAATATAGTATTAGCCTTTACTTTTTTTTATAATTTAATAAGCAGGTTTACCTTTTTTATATACTATTTTACTTACCACTTAGTAATTTACTTAACTATTTTTTAATATATAATTTATAGCATATTTAGGTTTACTTTTATAAGCTTTAATATTATTTTTTAAAGCTTTTTTTTTAGGTATTTAATATAATAATTTTTTTTAATTATACCTAGCCCTGCTTTATTTAAAAGCTAGTATTTATTAATTTTAAAGTTTTTTAGTATTATTATTATTACTATATACGCGTTGGTAATATAATTAACTTAATTATTTTTATTAAAAATAACAGGTATTTTTATAAAACTAAGTATATAGCTAATTTACTATATAATTAAAAAATAAGGTGCGTATTTAGGTAAAGGTATTAAGTTTAGTTTTATATATTTTAATTTTTTAATATTAACTTTACCTAGTGTTACCTTATAGGCCAGGGGTAATATTATAATTAAAAAAAAGGGGCTAGTTTTTTATACTATGTTACCTTAGGCTTTTTTTTTAGGGTATTTTATTTAAAATATTTTTTTTTTAGCTTAATTTAAAATCTATATTTATATATAGTTTTAGAAAAGAAAAAAAGCTATATTTTTTATATATTTATAAGGCTTAATTACTTATTTAACTTAAATTTTTAATTATTTAGGTAAGGTAAAAGTGCGTGGTTAAAGGTTATATTTTTTAAGTAAGGTAAGCTTAATGCTTAACATGGTATAAAAATTACTTGTATAAAAAAAATTACTAAAAAGTGATTTTAGTGTAGAGAAAGGTTGCATAAAAAAATATAAAAAAAAAAATTATAAATAGGATAGTATAAAATAAAAAGTAAAATATAAAAAAAAAAAAAATTATAAGTAAAATAATACTAATACTAGCTGCCTAAATACCATATAAAAAAATAATTTATAAACTTAAAATAAAACTTAAGATAATATATATATTTTTAAAATAAAAAACCTTTTTTATTTTACTTTTTCTCCGCGGTATTTTTTATATATTAGTTTTTAAACTTTTTTACTAGCTTTTTTATATTTTTTAACTAGGACTTGTAATACCACTGGTTATACTAATTTAATTATTTTAAATACTTTACTAAATATTTTACGCCACCGCGTTTTACCTTTTTTTTATAATAATTATTTTTAATTTATACTTATACTATTTATTATTATTTTATAATTTATAAGGGTAACCACGCTGCTTCTTACCTATTTTTTTAATTTAGTTTTTAATAAATTATATAGCTTTATTATTTATTAGTTTATTTAATACCTTTTCACGCTAAAATAAGTCTTTATTAACAGGGGCTTTTTTTAAGTATATAATAAAAATAATAAGGTGTATTTATTATTTAAGCAGGAAATCTAGTTTATAAGCTAGTGGTTTAATATATTTTATAACTTTAAAAAATTTATTATATTAATTTAATATTTTTTTATTTAGCGTGTTTTTAACTAAATAGCCCTTATAAAGTTAAAAATATATAAAATTACTAATTATAAAAAATATAGAAATATAGTGTTTATTATACTATGCTTTTATTAATATTTATATTAATTTAATTATATTTACTACTATCTCGCGCGTTATAAATAATTTTTTAACTTTTTTTAGTTATAAACTAATATTTATTAAAAGGCGTAAATTTATTTTATATATAAAATATTAAAAAGTTTTATTAATAGTTACATGCCTAGTACTATTATAAATAGCCTAAAAATAAAATAATATATTTAGCTATTTTAGGCTAGACTTTAGGGCTATAATTATATAATAAAAGTAAGCCTTAATTATTTAATTATTAATTATTATAATATTATTACCTTATAAGTACTAAGCTATTATAAACAGGCCTTTTACTTTAAAATTTATAAATATTTTTAACCATACCTTTAAAAAAACTTGGTATTTTTATTTAAAATAATTTGTGATAGTAGGCCTTAATTTTTAAGTTATAAGTATTTAAGTAATATATTAGCCTATTACTCCGTGGACTAGTTATTTTAGCCTGGGATTATAGTTATTTAATATAAAAAATAGTTTATTATAAATATAATAGTATTATACTACCTATTATTTAGCAAAGTAAGAATTAAATTAATAAAGATTATATTAAATAAATAAGGTACTAATATAATTAGTTATAAAGTATTATATGGCTTATACCTTTTTATTTTTTT